TAGGGAACAGGTTTTTTTTCAAATTGCCATTTTTCGATTATCTCGAACGCCGGTTTTGAAAAAAACCGACCACCCTACTAGATAAGATCTGGCAACATATTTAGTGTACATAAGTTAATCGAAATTGACAATTTTACGTCTGAATAGAGAAACAGTTGCTAATTAACTGCTTGAATGCTCTTTACATACATACATATTTGCTTATACATATGTATATACATTGCTGGTCAAAACAGCGATGATATGTCATACGACTTATATTGCAGTGATTCGGCTAAATTATAAGTTTATGCCTCATTTATGAATGTACCATTGGATGTGTGTGTGTACTTAAATATCTATGCTTGTACATACATAATTACCTTTCACTTGAATGGAGCAATAAATGCTTGGACAATATCTGATACACACACACATACATATGTATATATGCGTAAAAAGCTGTGAATGAGCGGCAATGAATTCTCGTGACCCCTAACCAGTAGTAGGTAGAACTAATAAAACGACCTTAGTAAAAATGCATAGATAAACACATACAAACATATGTATGTATGTATGTACATTAGACCGTACTACAAACGAAGCATAAGCAAACGAAAAAATTTCAAAGTACACCTCTGTGTCCAAGTAAGGAATTTTTACCAGGCGATTTCGAAAAACAATTTTTTTGCCGAACCCAGAGGTAACACCTACACTCTTTAAAAATTCGTTTTTTAAATAAGTACATACTTCTACTGGAATTATCGAAATACTTGCATATCAAAAGTTTAATGGTTTTTGGCGATACTTAAACATATGACATTAACGTTAAGGTGGTAGGAACAGAGATGTAGTGGACAAGTATTAGAGCGGAGTATTTGAGGTGAAAGGAATTTAGAACAAAAAATTTTCTCCACCCGACAAGAACATTGATATATCATACTTTAACACCTGCTCATACATACATATGTATTGAACAGCATTGGAGCAAAACCAACAACCGGCGTGCATTTTGTTGTTGAGTTTTTACTTTAAAATATCAAAAACGTAAACAAAATTTGGCATTGCAAATATAGATACGAATATTCGAATATTCGTATAAAAAAATTTAACACGAGAATTTCGCAAAAATGATTCATATATTAATTTGAATAAAATACTGCCAGCTTGTGAGATTTCTACGCCAAGTATTGAAATGTTACCAACTTGTGTATATTTAAAAAAAAGTACTCGGCGCTCTGGAAAATACCCGATCCTTAAAAGTATCGGTACCAAAGAACTCAAATCCTCAAAAGTACTCGATACTTCCCAAGACTACTATTTATGCTCCATTAAAATGACCTTTCTCTAATTGCTATAATTCAAGTTGGCTCCGAACTGCTTACTTTGACTAGTTTCGACCGGATATCTTACCCACTTCAAAGTTGTATATTGTTATACTGAAATTGAATGGGCTATAAAACTGCATACCAGAAATTAAAAATAAAATCAGAGTAAAAAAATTTAAAATTTTAATGAAAATTCGTTAAATTTTCCTTAATCTTGTATACAGTTTCAAACTTTGTTTTATATAGTTTTGTTTGTAGCTTGAGCCATACCTTTGTACAAAAATAACAAAAAATTATAGCTTGCAAAACATTGTGAATATTTAAAAATCAAGGGTGTACGCAGATATAGTGGAGCGACTATGTGTACATTAGGGTGGTTCAAAAACAGTAAAGTCGGAATTGTAATGCTCTTACTCCCTAGCATTGTTCTATATCGAAAAAAAAGTATACCCCTATTTTTTTATTTTGAAATCAAAAAATATTTAGAGGTCGCTCAAAGCGCTCAAAGTTTTCCATGTATTTTTATATGGGAAAAATTAATTTTTTCGTAGAAATGGTATAGAATTCTTGAAAATCAATATTTTTCGATCGGAATACTCTGGTTCTCTTCAGAAGACTTTCAATAATAATACCCAATTATTTATTTAACCATTTCTTAATACTAATGATTTTTTATTGCATTTTTCGGGGTTTTTGTGGGTTTTTGGCGGACCTATAAATTATAGTTTCAATGAAAAAATGGTTAAATAAACAATTGGATATTATTACTGGGACGTTTGAAACATTAAATCAATTTATTTACCAGAAATATTTAATGTGGTGTAGTACTTCTTAATTTTGCCACCATAAACTCGATATCTTAATATTTTATTGTTTTTGCTTAAATTTGGAGCAGAAAAATTATACACATCAACAGTCTTTGCGTTTGTCAAAATTTGATATGCATTTGTCAAAATTTGATATGCATTTGTCAAAAATTTCACTAACCTCATGAGCTCATATTCACCTCATACTTGTCAAAAATTTACTCGCAGCCAACTTTGTTACCGATTCACACACGCTCTCTATACCATTTCTACGAAAAGTTGTTTTTTCCCCATATAAAATACATGGAAAACTTTGGGCGCCTTGAGCGAAAATAAAAAAATAAGGGTAAATTTTTTTCGGTATAGAACAGTCCTAGGGGGTGAGAGCATAAAAATCCCGACTTTACTTTTTCCTAACATGCATTTTTGGACCACCCTAATGTACATAAATATATTAAGATTTGAGCAAAGTTTCAAAGTCAATTCATTAATTTTCCGCGCGTTCAAAATTTACTTTGCATATATTTTTAGGTACATACATACCGTCGTTTAAAGTACAAAACCGCGTATCAACAAAATGCAAAACCGCGTACGTGAAGTTGTAGAAATTATTTTCTTGAGCGTAAAAACACTCATATTTCAAAATGGTTATCTTTTTTATAAAGCAATCGCATTTCTGGCTACTATACTTCAGGTCGAATGGATGAGGATTGAGCCAAGAGTTTGTGTGAGTAAATCCATTTTTTGGCAGCAAATGCCAGTTACGTAGTTTTGCAGAATGACGTTACGCGGTTTTGTACTTTAAACGACGAATACATAAGTATCTACAAATATACATACATACATAAATAGGCATAAATAATACATTCATTTTTCTTAGTTTCGCTTTAAGGGTTCCGACTCTTTTCGTTGTTCACAAAATGATTGCAACAAATAGAAGACGCATTGAATTGAAATATAACTCAACTTTTTCGCTCAAATCTTACTCGCAAAATTTTTGAGCTAAAAGCTCATTCACAATCCGGTTACTTTTCACTTCATTTGTTTTATTTATTATTTTTTTCAATCTACATCTGTTTGACATATCGAGGTGTGTGAAATCAGCTGTGCTGTGTTTTCGCTTCAGTGCGCAAAATCATAAAAATTGAGCGAATATTGCCACAAAAAACAGCAAACAATAAAAATCAGTGCGAAGCGAAAAATGTTTTGTTTTTTTATTTATATGCACTTATAGTGCACATATGTATGTATCTACATGTACATATGTACATATACATATCGCACACCGTCTTCAAAAGAGTCACAACTTTTCATTATTTTCAACTTTTAGCTACAACCCCGTAGGAAATATGAGCATATGAGTAACAATGCCTTACCAGCAACTTACACTTCACCCGGCGGTTCTTACCACTTCCCTGCCTAATCTTATGTTTATGGAAGTAAAAATTTAGAATTTAGATACATTTGATACCAGACATACTACTGAACCGCAATCGAACCTATTCCAGTTAAAATGCGTCCCTTGACCGAAATGATATGAAGATGGTAAGAGAGACAGCCACTTTACCTTCTTCTGAACTGAGTATCAATCTGAATCTGATAGATTTCTTGAAAGCAGCTAAGTTATTAATAAAGGGGTTTCAATTGGGACGAAAATTGTCAGCCTGTGCCCCTTGCCGCCTTGTCTATACAGCCACAGAACCTAAACACCTTTACAAAGTACACGATTGAGAGCTGAACCAGTTACCGATGTAATATCGTAGACTTTGTTAGCTGGCATGACCTATCTTATGGGATTCTCGTGCACATGAACACATCTTAAATCTGAACTGATCGGACTCTGGGCAACCCTTTGCTTGCCTTTGTTACGCGATCATTGGTCGTGTTTTAACGATCCTTATCACTACAGGCGACCGCTGTAGTAGTAGTTTTGTGCTACTCTGAATTAATGCAGAGTTGGAGTACTACGTCCTGCCCTAGGACATAGCAATGTTAATTTGACTACATTTTTTATATGCGTTTCGGTTAATTGTGGAGTACTCCTGGACCCTTAGGGAGTACTGTTTACTTGGGAGCACTGAGTAGTCGCAATTTTGCACTTAAATGACGAAATACATACCTGCAAAGCAACAAGACAAACTCGGCTATTTATCGGTTAAAAAATACGCGACCGGAAGGGTAGTGTTGGTAAGTGAAAAATTGCTCTATTGTGAATTTTTAATGGAAAAGTGGAGAGGCAAATTTTTGTTTTCGTATATACATACATGATTTATATTTTAAATAAGTATATATTTTTATGTCTGAATCCCGTTAAACTAGTCACATGTTTCTTGCCAGATACCAACAGGGTTGCTTAAGTAGCTAAAAGCAAATTTTACCCGAGTTGAGCGTTCTTTTGTCGCTCGTTCACCAAAAAAAAAAATGCAGCTACTATAAACATACCAGATGAGTTTCTGAGGACAATGGCAGCGTCAAATTATTGTAAATAGGTACCGATGCCACCAGCTGTTGACACTGGCACCACTGGCACAGTTTCAGTGCTCAAATGCCGCACTACCCCATTAGCGAGAGAGAGCTGATGCGCACGAGATGAGACTTTCTACTCCCCACCGATGCCGCTAAAATGACAGAAGCAACACAAACCATGCCACCTTTGTTTAGGTATGAATTTATGTACATACATATGTACGTGCCACAACGCCGAAGAGCAGGAGCTGACGTAACACTTAAATGAGCATTTTCCTTATTGTTTACTACTTCATTTCTATGCTTTTCCAAGCTTTCTGCGCCAAGGCGCGTTGTGTCAATTCTGCCTTGTGTGAGTGAAAACGAGTTGAGTCGAGGCGTTTTTCCTACCATTCATTTTAGTCTTGATTTCGTACTCGTTCGTGGCGTTTGTTGGTCAAATAATATTTATTTAGTTGACCCAGCGGTTGTCGTGGCAATTAATTACAAAGAAAAAAATATCCCAACCAAACTTGGAAAGCAAAACATTTTTAGATTGTGGTTTTAATATTTTAGTATACTACGAAAAAGTTAAATTTTGTTAGGGTTCGGTGAAAAATGTGTTAAACTGGTGAAAAAGTAACAAAGTGTACACATTATATGCACACACACGCAAGACCAAAAATCTCCGTCAATTACGTTGTGAAAATTTTTATTACTGGTCATTAATGATGGTTATTTGAGTATTGTTAATCATCGAATGTGCTTAGTATTTAATTAGTCGAAATGTAATCTATACTTAAAAAGGGAAATATTTAAAAAAATCTGAACTATTTTAATATCTATTAAGAAAATAAAAATTTCGTAGAAAACTTAATCACCACAATTACAAATTGGCGACAAGTTTTTGATGCATTACAATGTGTTGCTAAAAATACAACAACGACTACGTCAGCAGGCTGCGCCTTGGGGCTGCTTCTTGGCTCTTTGGCTATTTGGTTAGGTAGTTTGTAAATGGGTTGATGGGTTGGTTGGTTGGTTGGTTGAAGATGGCCGACACCGGCGCTGGCCGTTTGCGGGTGATCTTGGCCGAGTGCTACGCATACAGACAGAGACAATAAGTCAACACACACACACACAACCCGATAAGTACATACACACATACATACACAAGTACATGTTTAGTAGATGTGAACGTGTTTAAGTGTACGCTGTCATTATCATGGCTCTCTACCGGCCAACCCGCACGCGGACAACCGCCCTTCGAATAGACGTCAGCGTCCGTGTTGGTGTCGGTGTTGGTGTGTCGGTGTCGGTGTCGGTGTCGGTACCGTCGTCGTCATCTAAGTGCGCTCAACGCCGCTTTGAAATGTTTGCTGTGAAAATATGCACAGGTGACATATGTAAAAATAAATGCAAAGCGTTCCTTTTTGCAATTATTTCCGTTTAGCGTGAGTTGCCTTGCAGTTTACGCTTTTATTGGATTTTCATCGATTTTTATTGAAAGACAACTAAATAAGTGCTTTGCGTGTGCATTAATAACGCCACCTAGTTCGCAATTGCTGCGACTTATTTGTATGTACAATGTGTATAGAATAGGGAGAGGCCTTTTTTTTTGATATTAAACGCAATGAATATCAACGCAAGTTAGCATTTCAGCGTAAAAACGTGACTCATGATTTTCTACTCACACCAACAAAATACAGAGCTAATAGAAAGTGCCCACATGCGGGCCAACTGGCCATCCCCTGAACAAATTCATAAGCGCTGCTTCCTTTTCCTGCGTAAAAACAGATACAACAAAACTTTTTTCTGAAAGCAACTTACTTTTAATTACTGCAGTGTACGCATTGCAGGTGTACGAATTTAAAGAGAAGTAATGAGTTAGTCTCTCCTATTTGCCATTAAAGTGCTTAGTTAAACTGGCGCCAATGTATACGCGCAATACTGCCTGATTTCAGCCTTAATGGTTTTATGTCAAACTTTGCTAAGCATTCCCACTTTTTCTTATATTTCCTGTCTACTTAGTTGCCTCACACATAACAAAAAAAGTATGCTTTTGTGGACAACTATTTACTACTAGTATAACACGAGGACAGTTGGTTTGGAAACAATTGAGCTTACGCTTGCGCGAACCACGCTTATGTAATTTCCTTTAATGTTTTTATGTGCTCGAATGAGCGTGTGCCATAAAAATGCGAACACATATCCAGTGCAAATACATATGCACATTAGGGTGGTCAAAAACTATAGAAAAAAATAAATTACATTTTTGTAATTTTCTTGCTGCCACAAATTTAGTACAACAAAGTACAAGGTTAAGTGGTTAAGAAATTACGTTGATTTTAATAACTTTTTTGCTTATGTTTCGAGCACATTTTATGTACATATGTATGTATGTGGAAGAAGAAATAAATTTAAAAAAAAATTTTTTTTTTTTCATATATGTATGCATTATGCATTTGAAATATAAGGAGAGCTTCAGAGCCCCCGGATATTTAACCCAGGGACGGTAATCATTATCTATTAGTAAAATAATTTAAATCAGCATTTAATCATTATTTTATGATTTTAATTTTTTTCGCTTAAAAATAAGCGTGATTTCTGACGTATTCTTTTCAGAGGTGGCGACACCCTAATAAAAGCATTAAGTCCCAAAATTTTCTGTTCAAAATTTCAGTGCATTGCGTTTGTATGACCTTTTCAATTTTATAAGTAATCATTACTTTTATGTGGAAAAATAATAAAATAATCATTATTTGTGATTGAAAAAATAAAAATCAAATAATAATAACACAAATATTAATAAATAATAATATTTATTGATTAAACTCGAAAAATAGAAATCATTATTGAACACAAATACATGAGAATAGTTAAAATTGTTTTACAACGATTGCAGCTTGTTAATTTTTTTGGCTAAAATTTAAAAAATTATGATTATTTTTCGTCCCTGAATTTAAATAAATCAATAGGGGCCTCTGGGGGTGGTCGAAAAAAATAGACCACCCTAATGTATAAATTAACCAGTCTTTTTCGCATGCTAATGGAAATTCGCGAAACTTGAAAATGTAAATGCGCTTGTAAATACATAGCTAGGTACATATGTATATAAACTATGTACATACATATGTACATCCATACAAATATTAGGTCGTATCACCACGCTATAACGTCGCTCGGATAAATTAATGTCGGTTGTTACATTTGACGATTTTTAAATTGATTGATGTTTGGAATTCAATTTCTCAAAAAAAAGCGACGATAGATTTTCTTAAAGTCTCAGAGAAAGTTACCAGTTCACGAATTTCTTAAAGTATCTTATTTTTATTGTTAATTATGAATTATTTTTGAGTTTATGAAGGATTTTCCTTACTCGTATTTTGTCGTAGGTTATATTTGGCAACAATTTTGCTAAATTTGTACTAAATTAACGACAAAATTTGAGCCAATCAGCCTCGTCGCGAGAGTCGTGTCGAATTGCGAATCGTTTTTCGAGAATCGAATCGCATCGAAAATTTCATGTCATTGCCTAAAATTTCGACTCGACTAGTGTATTAAAACGGAAAAACTTGGCAGCACTGCATAGTTTTCGACGATTTTCGTCGTTGACTTATTTCAGCACGACAGTAGACATTGCCAATGCTGTCGAGTCGTACAATTTAGCCTAATTTACGACTTGCGCAATGAGCCTGAATATCTCGGTAACTAAATGAGATATCAAAATCCGATAACGCCATTTGAAAGATTTTGATTAATTAGTACAACTCCATTATTAACAATATGAGGGGATTCGGGAAATCTAGCTAAATCGAAGGTTTCTTGTAACTCTTCCGTTCGATTTCCAAATGAATCGCATACCACTGAAAAATTTTTAAAATTACATATTCTTCAGTTAACGCTTTCTTGCTCTATCCACTCGGCGGAGATAATTTACAGAACTTTTATTTACCTTTATAGGCGGCATACACGGTGTGTCTGACTCGCGAGTCATTTGTATACGTGTTGACTCGCCTTCGACTACACACAATTGAATCATTCAGAGTCGTGTCGATGTAACTAACAGATATTTATTTTCACAAACACATCCAAATCGACTCGCGAGTCATACGCACCGTATATGCCGCCTATTATACGGTGTTCGCATGAGGCGATTTTTGAGGCAATTTTAGAGGCGATTAGTTGAATCAAAATCCAACTTCATTGGAAGCGATTAGTTGAAAAGCCGTTCACACTAGGCGATTGTTACTTTCAACTAAAAGTTACCTGTAAAATCGCCTCATGCGAACACCGTATTATTGATAATCGTACTTATTTAACTATTGCTGTTAACCGGTAAAAATTTCATTGGTTTACTGGTGCTTTATGGAACCGGTTTTTTACTGCAAAGCAAAAGAAAAATAAAACGACTCAACTAAGGGTAAACTCGAAATGAGCTCCAAGCTACAGAGAATGGGTACCGGCATAGAAATTGAAAGCTGTAGTAAAGAATTTACTATTTTGAGTAGATTTTTATTCGCCCTTAGCGAATTAATTGAGCGACTCTCTTGGCGCCACATCGCCACAAACAGTTAGCAACCCCTCTGTCAATGTCGTGGCCGTTTGCAGCGAATTGAGTTCAAAAGCGGTTGCACGTGAGTACTAGGTGACAGTTTTTGCTTTTGAATTGCTTAAGCAGAGACACGTGAGCGAAACGAAAAGGAAGTGAAAGAAAGCATTTGCCATTCATTCATCAGATAAAAGGTAATTTTAATTACCGTTTTCAGTAGTTTTACCCCTACAACAACAACTCTTGAAAAGGGATGGAAATTTATGGCAGCAAGATTTACTTACATTCTTGTGTACATACATACATACATATGTACATATATAATCTCAAAAATTACTTATAATCGTTCACTAAAGCGTTACGTATGATAAAATGTTTGTATGTACATACGTACTTAGGAATATGTGGCATCATAGGTACCCATTCCGAAAAACTTTACTTAGATTGACGGCAGAGTGTTTGCTAGAACCGAAGCTGTGCTATAAAATTTTAAAATTTTTGGCTGTTTCGTAAGTAATAGGGGAAAATGATTAAATTTTTTTCAAAACTTGTATGGAAGTCGACAGAAAATAAAAAATAATTTTCCATTTAAATAGCTGGTGAGACCCACTGTAGAAATAACTGGGACATTTGTATGGCAATATGTTGAGAAATAAAATGAAAACGTCAAAATTTAAAAACTCTGAGAATAGAACAAGGCTGTTTGTATAGATTTTTTTTTTTGGTAATCTTTGAAATATTTAAGATTAATTGTCCAAGTTCCCAAATGTAAAAATCTTTCTATATATTTTTTATTTTAGTTTCAGCGTTACCCAGCATACTATGACCTTCGGCTGGAAATGCCCATATGTCGATGCTTTAGAAGTCAACTGTATAGCAATATGGATATATTTTGAGCTTTAAAGAGCACAAATGTGTACTGTCTTAGGGTGGCATGTGGCAAGATTTCAACCCGCGCCTTCGGTGATGTCAATTAACACGCTTAACTTTACATAAGCAAACACTTATTAAAGCGCAAAGTGTTAATTCTTTATTAGAAAATGAGACCAATATTTAGATACAATTTTTTGAATTTTGTGTCGATATTTGGAATGTCGAGTCTTTTTATCTCGATTTTAATAGGATCCCGATATTTTTACAGCGATACTTTAAATGAGTACTGTATCGATATTTTCGGTTAGGAATCGTGTTAATACATAAGCATGCGGACAATGTTGTACATATACATACATATATATTTTAAAATATAAATACTGCAAGTGTGCAATCAATTTCCCACACTTTGAGCACTTCAAACCGCTTGAAGTTCAATAAATTTTATCGCCTTTTTGCAAGGAAACATCGAATAAACAAAACATAAATGCGAATTCTTATATGTACATATGTATGTATGCATGTACATTAGACTGCATCACTCCCCATACAAAAAAAATCGATACTGTGTTTCCATTGAAATTATAAAGTCTATTATATTTTAAGATGTTCACAAAAATATTTCGGAAAAATATTAAGATTTACGTGAGCTGGACTGATTTGAAAATACCTCCTAAAATGGAGTTTTTTATAAATAAAAATCGTTTCTTAAAAATTGTTTTTAAAAAATCCTTTCAAATGACAAAAACGATTTAAGCTTAAAAAATTTGCATACAAATATTTCAAAAAAATTAAAAAATTTTGGAACGGAATCGTAATTTTTGATGCGGTTTTTTTTTAACTTTTTTCAGAGATCGGTATAATAAAAACTTGGATAACTGAACCTAAACTCTTCTGATTTAGACTTGTGAGGTGCCATTGGAAATGTATTTCTCACTCTTTTTATTTCGTTGCTAATAAACTCATTCAAACGATAAAAGAGAAACGTAGGATGAACGAACGTCATTCTAAGTTGAATTAAGATGTGTTGGTATTTGAAAAAAACAATGGGACACGAATGAATTTTTTTGGAGAGAAATAAAAACAGTGGGAAACACATTTCTACTGAGATCCCATAAGTCTAAATCAGAATAGTTTTGGCCCAGTTATTCAAGATTTTCGTAAATCAATCTTTGAAAAAATTAAAAAAACCAGCATCAAAAATCTCATTATTACAATTCCGTTAAAAAGATTTTTAAATATTTCTATGCAGATTTTTTAAGCTTAATCTGTTTTGTCTTCTGAGGGGACTTTTTTAAAAAGTTCTTAAAGAAACTATTTTTATTCATAAAAAAAACTCCATTTTTTTATATATTTTAAAATCGGTCCAGCTCACTTTTTTTGGTGGTGCAGTCTAATGTACATACATATATTCTAAACAAAAATACTATGCTATTAAATAAGTAATACAAAAATTTTAGTTTCTATTTCTTCGGTTTTGTATTTGTATGCCAATAAAGAAAAATATTTTAAATCAATTAATTGTATATAAGTGCAGAAATATATGTGTTTGTGCAATATTTATGTATAATATTTAACAATTTCACAAAATTTTGCAAACAAAGAACTTGTTTACAATAACCTCGACTTTCTTAGTGATTGGTCGAAAAGAGCTTTATTAATTATTGATACAGACATTCCATTTTTGCCCCACTCTTCCCACTAAACATCTTGAAATGTATCGAAAATATTTCAAAAATGCTTTGCTCTACTCTTATTCAAATGCAAATAATGTGCCACCATATTTTCCATCAACAACCAAATGTGATGTATTCGAACAAAATCGGAATGAAATGTTGATTACTCATACGCCCTGTGCAACAAATTGCCGTTTGTTGACCTGCGATTTGTTGGCAATTTGCCATCCCGAGTGTAGGTGCTTACGTTTAGCAATGAAATGCATATATCAGCATACATGAATTTTCACATATATACATATATTTACATACATTCATATGTACTCGGATGCATGAGATACGTCTTATGTGCCTTTATCTAGTACTTGTTTTTGCCGTTGCCCTTCAAAATCTAAGATTTTGTGACTAATTGTTTTTCAATTATCCTGTATACCAAACTCACTCGAACACATAAAACCCGTTATCATAAATTCGGTAGCTTCGGTGTATATATGTATATATGTAGCTACTATTAATTAAAACAAATTGACATTTATGATTACACAATAAAAGGTTTTTTATAAATGCTTTTAAAGTAGTTGACGATGCGAACGAGCCCATATTTTTTATCACTTAGCTTATCGCATTAGTAATCACATTTTTACTACATACTACTACTTATGTATGTATAAACAGAAAGAGAGTATTGAGTTGTAGTAATTAATACCGTATGTACGATATCATAATTGAGGGTAAACAAAAATTGATATACATACATACACATATAATGCTGAAAAGTATTATATACATTGTAAACTCCTTCGCGTTTCTGGTTTTGTCAAAGTAATGCATTTTCAGAAGTTGATAAACTTTTATTCTGTAACGTTCCTGTTATTCTTTATCACGTCTGTTATCGGTGTAAATGAACGGATGATACAGCAATATGAAGTAAACAGCTTTTCTTTAAGTCTACTGTTCGATACAATTGAAGTAGTGCTGTATACTTAAATACTTTTTAATTGAAAGTACCGGTTTGCATCTATGTAAATACCCATATTAGTTAGTATTTACTATTTAAAAAAAAATTGGTAATTTAGAGATACCCAAATACTGAGGTAAATAGAATTAAAGTATTTACGAGATGCTAGTACCTATAAAAAATGATTGCTTAGGTAATTGCGGTTACTAAATACTAAATAAGGTACTTAGTAAATTTCTAAATACTAAATCGGTAATTTTTTTTTTATTTATTTTAAGATTGACAGTTTAGTGGAATGCTTGTGTTTTTCAGGATTTTCTTCGAATTTTTGGAGTTTTTTGGGGTTTCTCGGGATTTTCTTTAAGAACTTTAGGGTTTTCTGGACTTTTCTTTGGAAGTTTTGGATCTTGTGATTTTTTTGTAAAAACTTTAAGAGGTTTTTCTGAACTTTTCTTTGGTTATTTCGGGATTTTTGGAGACTTCGGGATCTTTCCAGTTTTTTGTAAGAACTTTGGGGTGTTTTTCTGGACTTTTCTTTTGGATTCTTCGGGTCTTCGGGATCTATCGGGTTTTTTGCAAGGGCATTGGGGATTTTTTCTGGACTTTTCTTTGTTTTTTCAGGGCTTTTCGGGATTCTTCGAGCCACAGCTATCTTTCGAGTTTTTTGTAAATACAATTTTGCTTATAACTGAAACTAACATTTGGGGCATTTCGCATCAAGCAGACAGGGAAAAAGGGTGATGCTTTAGAATTCCTTCATATTTTGGCTAATTGTACCTGCGTGAAATATGAAATTGCGTGCATATATTTTTTCTTTATATGATGGTTACTTTTCGAGTTATGGTCTTCCAAAGTAAAAATTAAAAATAGGATTTTTTTAAAGTATTTATTCGTATTGAAAAAAGATTAAAAAAATTATTAAACTTCGCAATTTGGTGAGAAAATTTCTCGCTTTTCTTTTATACCACACCGGAATTGAAAATTTAAAAATGAAATTTGAGAAACTTCGAAAATTTTTTTGTTTTCAAAGTATAGCCGCAGTTACCTAGAAGTAGATCAAACGTTTCTCCTGTAGAGTTGTACGACTCTTTAGAGTATTATGACTATACCTGAGGCTATATTTTGCAAAAAAAATTTTTTTTTAATTTTCACTTCCGGTGTGGTATAAGAAAAAAAATATTGATAATTGATTTCGCATTTTTAAAAGCGAGAAATTCTCCCACCAATTCGAAAAAATTTAATATTTTTTTAACTTTTTTTCAATACGAAAAAATACTTTAGCAAAAACCTATTTTAATTTTTACAATTCTTTGCAAGCCCATAACTCGAAAAGTATTCATATAAAGAAAAAAAATATGCACAAAATTTCATATTTCACAAAGGACAGTTGCCCAAAATATGAAGGAATGCTAAAGCATCACCCTTTTTTCCCAGACCGCTTGACGCGAAATGCCCCGTAATATGTAGTATGTATGTACATATATCGTGTCCTGCGAACGGTTTGAATGAAATATCTAAAAGCCCTTTAAAGTTAGTCAATCGAATTCCCTAAATGATAGCCAAAGTCAGCCAAAGGCCCGCCACTTGCCTAGTTATTATTTCTAAAGCATGTTGCAGCAGGTAGAAAATTTTCAGGAAATGATCAGTGCAAACACACAAAAGTATTGTAATGCAGAAAAAACTATGTCTATAGAATAGTTACTAAAATATAGCGTAAAATAAAATATCTGCATTTTATTTCGGACAAAACAATGCCAAGCCAGCGAAGGTTTTAAAGTTTGTAAAAATGAAGAAATCAGCGAAAGAAACCAAATAATAATAGTGCGTGTATACACATACATACATATTACAATGATGAAATTATGGACTTTTGTTAATTAAATGCATTTAAAACTCGTACGATAACTCACGCGCACTTACAATCGTAAACTTGCATATATGGAATTGATCGGTAGTGAGCGATGCCCAACGGAAATCGAAAGCGGCCGGATACGCTGGAATTAGAGGTGCTAGGGCGCGCCAAGTCGGTCTTCCGATGATGAGGAATGTGCGGTCACAGCTCGTGTTCTACCAAAGTCGCATCAAAAGCATTATCAGCTACAACCAGAACAAGAGAAGCACTCGCCAAAGCCACAATCCTTCAATGTCGACAAATTGGAGAGCACATCCGATGACAATGCGCGATCGTCGGTGTCATCGCCACAACCACAGCTGCATACAAGTCGAAGGCGTCGCAAAAGACGCGTCCCCATCGATGGTTTCATCTACGTCGAAGACCACGAGCCGCCCCTGCAGACACGACGGAGCTCACACATCTACCCGCGTGCGAAATCAGTGCCACAAATACCGGCACTACGAACACTGCCACCGCATCGCTAGCCAAGCCCGAAACACCGGTCATCGCCAACTCGACCACCACCATCACTACAACGCTGCCTACAAGTGTGACAATACCCGACGTTGCAGCTGTGCTCCCGCGACACGACTCCAAAAAGCGTCGAACTCGCACACAAACCGATAGTCTCTACAGTCTCGCTACGCTTGCTCAAACGAACGAGATCCAACGAGCACAGCAACACTCCGAACCGAATGTGTCCAGAGCGCTAGCCAGTAGCACGGGTGACCACTTACCGTGGTCATGTTCGATGGCCAACGCAAATATCACACAAGAAGAAGCAGCAGCGGCAATTTATTCAAACGATGACACTGTCACTATCCAACAGGCGACTCGGGCATTTCACGAGCTTGGCGGCCGCGAACATATATTGCTCACTTCTGAGCTGGCAACGTCAGCGGAGGAAGTGATCGATGGCGTGATGCAGCCACCAACGAAGGGTTTCAAGGCATGGCTAATGTCTGTTTTGGGCAAGTTGTCTGGCTGGAAGCGCAGAGAGTGCGTGCGGCGACGTTCTCGTTCTACGCACACCGCAATGGACACGGCGGCGGCGGATGATGCGGCATTTGGTGGCAATGGTGGAGCGGAAAGCTTAGGCGAACATAAAAGTCTGAACGCTAGTGGCGACTTAGAAGCGTTGTCAGCAACGACGAATACAGTAAACGGCGCTGGCGGTGGAAATGGCATATTTGCTAACACCAAGGACAAAGGAATACGTCGATTGTCACAGATGCGACGCCGGCGCAANGTGGCGACTTAGAAGCGTTGTCAGCAACGACGAATACAGTAAACGGCGCTGGCGGTGGAAATGGCATATTTGCTAGCACCAAGGACAAAGGAATACGTCGATTGTCACAGATGCGACGCCGACGCAGCTCATATTACTTTTCTGGTAATTCATTTAAATGTTAAGTAGTAATGCTTATAAAAATCACTTGAATAAAAAGTAGGCAATATTTAAGGTTATATCACGGTGGTTGCTTCAGACTTGAAACTTTTTCTCTTTTTGATACCACCCACCATGTTTAAACGGTAATTACTAAGTTATTAGAAAAAAGTAGTACTTGCACTCACTCTTTTCGAGGATACCCTTCCGGCCAGCTCATCCACCATCTCTTGATTGTCGCTTGGCTATAAAAGTAGATGTTTACCTCTCCTAACTATTCCACACAGTTAAGCGACATCGACTGCAGTATGGAACGCACTTCAGGGATCCGAAAGCATAAAGTAGTTGATAGACAGCTATCAGCAATATAACTTAACCCTAGAATCCATACGGGGTGCGTAGACCCCAGTACACACTAAAGCTCTCATTTATTTATTTTGATATGGCGGTATTTTTAGTGTTTGCCATGACTTTTTGTTAATAATTAATACATCCAACTAAAAAAAAATGGTTTTAAAGAAGCCGTTTTTAAGTTACTGGGGTGTACAGGAACCTCAAATAGATTTACGCAACAAATAAAAGGTATGATTTGTATGGTTCAGGGGATGTGATCTTTTTAATTTTTAGAACATTAATAAATTTTAACGAGGCAATTCTGGCTAAGATAGTTGAAAGTCTTTTGCAAGACAATTGAAAGAAAGTCGGCAAGATTTTTTGAAAGGTTTTGTTTATTCTGGCACGAAGGTCTTACAAAAAAGCTTACACGCCAACTTTCATGTTGAAAAGCTCTTTTGACAGAAAGCACTTGTATATCATTTTGCTCGCGATGCTTCAACAGCCGCAATGGCCTAGTGGACAAAGCGCTGCCATACGATTCGTGAGATCAGAGGTCGAGTTCTAGAGCGATGGAATTTTTTAATTTCATTTTTTTTTAATGTAATTATTTTTTAATCTTTCGATCTTGTTGTTTTAAAGGTCAAATTTTAAAAAAGAAAAATATTTATAATTATTTTATTTAATTTTTATGAACTCATCTAATTTTTCCTTTTTTAATTATTATTATTATTTTTTAAATAATTAATATACAACAATAGACTGTTTTAAATTCAATTTCAAGCGACTTATTTAATTTTTTTGTTTTTTTAATTGTCAGGAACTTTATTTATCGGTTACCAAATTTTTACTACCAGCGCAGAATATACCTGTTACTGTGCGCATGTTGAGCTTTTAATAGTTGATCTCAATAAATTTCTTAAGTTCAGACCAATTATACTATCGAGGTTGATCAGCAAAAACTAAGCAGGACTTAATTATGACATTTATCCACATTAATATAAAAAATCTTCTAAAAGAATTGCATGTGTTTCTTTTAAAATTCAGCTTAATTTGTGGATTAATCATAAAATTTACTATTAACGCTTCCCAAGAAAATTAATTGCTATTTTTCCTAATATCGTAAATTTTCACTATATTTAAAATATAAACCATAAATAGTTGAATATTTTTTACTGTGTATATGGGAACTCATTGAAACTCTACATAAAATGTTTATTTCGAAATGGGCTCCCAAATGCTTTTGACAGACAAAATCAGAGCTATCATTAGTTATATTTTACGAACATGCGGTATATTAAATAAAAGATAAACAAAAATATTGCTTAATTGACGGTAAAACCTCTAATAATAAATTTTTGTAATCTATTCCAGAGAATGAACGCAGAATTCGAGCCAACGACCGAGAATTTAATGCACAATTTAAATACGCCGTGAGTACATACATACATACATACATATATATTATATAGATGTTTTCATAGAATATTATTCAGAGACTATAATATTTCCACACCTTTTCATCGCCACCTCCAATATTTACCATTAAAAAAAAAAAGAATCAACAATGCTGTTTGCTAGACGAGCCCTGCGGCAGACGCATTAGGCAAAAAGAAAAAAACAAAGTGCATTGTGTGTTACCATTCAGACAGTGGCTGCTTCTAAGCAAACAGATAAAGATTCTATGGGTATAAATATGCAAATCGTATGCTATGAATGTAGGTACATATGTATATTCAAATACGGTCATTGGTGGATTGATAAGTAAAGCGGCATAAGAGCAAAGCGAAAATATATGAAAGAAGGCTCAATGTTCGGAGAATAGTAAAAACGTGCAGTTTACATTGGCAAAGGAAAATAGTTTATGCGACACCTTATTATGCGCGTTGAGCTGAATAGTAGTGGCTTAGATGGACTTAAGTGGTTCCATTTTAATGGAAACGTTATTGCCCTGCAACATTCGGCTGGAAAATATCGAACACTTATCTTTTACTATTTTGTTTTTTTTTTTTTTTGTTTGCAATTTCGCATTACATTTGCTGCATTTCCATTTATCCGCTCTTTCAATCATTCATGCTGACCTTTCGATGCGTACATACATACATACATATGTATGTACTTCATGGTTTAATGTGCATAGCTATGTATTTTTGTGCCTGCATACCTTGGAGAGTGGTCATATGCCGCTTATACTAGCTTGTCATTGATCTTTGCGACCAATGGCGCTGACGGCTAGCGATTTGTTGGACTAATTGGCGTATTGACATTGAAAAATAGACACAGTAAACAATAACACGCAGACAAATACGCACGTGTAGACGAATAAATTAAAAAAGCTGCGGCGAAAATGCACAAAATAAAAATTCACAAAAAATAACAAAAAAAAAATAGGAGAGAGAAAAGCAGAGCATATTTATTAACACAAATGAGACTGAAAAAATGTTTCGGGTTTTGCGGCTTGCGTGCGTTTTTCCCAGTGAAAACACAGAAAATATTTAAAAATGCCATTGTGTAAAGCCTATGACTGCTTATTATATTTTGGTTGTTCACACTTGCCTGGCTATCAGGTCATTTGGTTAAAAGTTATTATTCTATAGTATATTTTATTGTTCTAAGCTGAATAAAAAATATAACCTGATCACAAATTATGTTGAAAATACGATTTTTTGTCGTCAAAATTCGCACGCGCTTTAGGCATTTGTTCTTACCTCTGAATTGCTGTGTCAAAGTCTACTACCCACATTGTGTGCACCCACCACCAGGCCATAGAGATACATATACAATGTTACTGTACAGCCAACAAGTTTGCGAGGAAGGGAACCACCCTTTCTGACGTCGAGTGTTTTCACGAAACAAAACATGTCTTAAAATATACTCCAGGGAGCTCTTGAGACTAGGCAAATTACACCTCTCGCTATTGGACATAATTCTAACTGGTCATAGCACTAAGACTGAATATCATCACCAGCCATGGAGGACGATGAGTTGGAATCATCTCAACACCTGCTTCAAACACCTCGGGTCGCATTTATTCCACACTCCCGATGAGCTTTCGAGAATGGATATCTGTCGCTTGAGGAGCTTCTTGTTCCTTTCCCCTCTGTATCTAACCTCGTCCTTACACCTCCAGCCGTCCTGTGTTTCCCAACAAAATGACAAGTAATAGATCGCTTGAAATGAAAAAAAAACTAAACTGCTGCCTTGTTTCTGACTTTGCGTTACTAAAGAGCGCTTTCATAGTCGCACTGTTACAAACACTGCAACGTTATGGGAGTCTATGCTATTCTTATTAACATGCTGTTCAGATCAGCTCTTCATTGGTATCTGCCTAAACGAAGCAATGATTTATGCTCTCAAACAATTAAACACTCCTGCAAGCTTCAAGCCTCAACTTACTTAATTATATTTTTACTTGAAAATCCAAGGCGATGATGTATGTACATATTCAAGACTTCACACATCTTTAACTGTCCTTTATATATGGGACGTTCTATGTCAACCGGAACAGAGGTATATCCAAAAATTTACGCAATACAAAAAAACCGTTAAAGGGCTGAAAACATTTGTATACTTTTGCTCTTTTAAAAGCAGTGTGGCGATTCAAACTCACGAACTGACAAATAATATCTTTAATAAACTTTATAAAACCTAAAAAATGAAATGAAAGGATACTTTTTTAAGCAAGGTTAGGTTCGTTGAATACAAATCTGGTGTCAGATTTTCAAAATTCTTAATCGCATATCCATATTGTTTCTACCATTTTTAAACGAAGAGCTAAAATCGAACGTGCGTACATGGCGTATGAGTAACATTCTCATCTCAACTGAGTAACTCATACGCCATGTACGTAAGTTGGCTTTTAACTACATATTTATTCCGTCTTAAATGATAGATCCAATATGGATCCGCGATTAAGAATTTGTAAATTTGTCACCAGATTTGAGTTCAACAACCCCGAAAAGCCCCGAATTTCAAGTTTCGAGCAGAAATTAAATTAAAAAGAAATCGTCCTCCATCTTGGATAAACCATTTTGAAATTTTAAAATTTCACAGCAGACTTGAATTCCTCAATCCCGCAAACCCCCCAGAGTATCAAGTTTTGAGCACTGAATTGAGTTGAACTGAAAAAACTCGTCCTCCATCTTGGATCCGCCATTTTGAGTTTTTAAAATCCGACACCAGGTTTGTATTCAGCGACCCTAAAAATGCGTAAAAAAGTACATATGCTTTCATTTCATTTTTTTTTGGTTTTGTAAAGTTTATTAAAGATATTATTTGTCGGTTTGTGAGTTTGATGAATTGCATAACTTCTACTAACGCCTCCATATTTAATTTCCAAAATCGCCACACTGCTTTTAAAAGAGCAAAATTATACAAACATTTTTAGCCTTTATTTTTTTATTGTTCCGGTCGACATGGAACGTCCCATATGTAAATGTACGAGTACTTACAAATAAATATTAAATTTTTATTCATCAGATCTGTATATAAGAAAAAACTGTACATGTATGTATGTATACATGCATATGTCCAGGTTATAAATATTGTGAGAGTATGCCTCTGTGTCACGTAAATATTGAATTAAACGAGCATTCACACTGTTTTGGCTATGCGATGTTTCCACGTTTGGCAGTACATATGTATGTACATGCATACATGTGTGTGTATATATTTTACAAATGAACTACCAGTGTACTTTTGATGAAGCATAAATTCACTTCATGCAAGTTTCGGTAAATGATGCATACATATTTACGTATTTACATACACTTAAACTATCCTGAAGGAAAAGTTGCTACTTTTTATCTAAAATACACGATGTTTGCTTTTCAGCTCCTTATTTTTTATCCATACTAGTAAATTGGTATTAGCCAGGCGATACTAGTAGCTTTATACCTGTTAACCACGTAGTTTCTCTATGTATGATCCTTGAAAGAAATAAATCTGTTATTTTGCTGGTACTGGCTCAACAGTTACGATGACCGACAGGCTAAAGCATTGGTGTCCTATACGATTGATCCGTGGCTCCAATTATCGGACAAGGTTAAAAGTCTGATATGTTTTTGCTCTAATTCTATCATAATTTTTTTTTACTGTTTTGATAAAATTGTTTACAAAGAAAAAATTTCTTTTTTACTTTCATAATTTTTTTAAATGATTAATTAATTGTATTTTCTCAATTGAAATATTTTATAGCTCTCATTCAATAATCTTCAAAATACATACAATTAATTACGTTTTAGTTTTGACTTTCTCAATTCGAAGACATACATACATATACATACATACGAAATTCAAAATTTTCCCTTTGATGCAGAAATGCATCTAGATGCTCTAGGAATACTTATGCATCTAAACGAAAAATTTAAAAAAAAAATGTCGCTTACGTTATTTTGGCTGTTAGGACTCGTTGTGTATGCCACTAAACGCATAATCTCAAATTGTTCGAAATTGTGTCGAACTGATGTTCCTCCGCATCAGCTCATGCCAGTTAATAAACGAGTCATTTTCTACCAGTTAATCTACCAGAATGTTAACTGACTATTGTGACTTTTCACTACATGTAGTATGTGTACGTGTACGTGTAAGTATATATAACTAGTTTTGTGCGTGCTTTTGTTTATTATTGGCACTTTTCTAGGTCAATGGCTTTGGTGTTAGTGTTGAGGAATTTTACTGGCTAAATTACCAAATTTTTTCGTTATCACGACTGAAGTTTTAATGCAGAATTTAAGCTGAGTTAATGATCAAATCCCTCGGGAGGGGGATATTTGATTGCAACATACACAGGCACGCGCCAACTTATATATGTACATATTTATGCAGCTAAATATGTAGATGTTTCATGAGTCCAGCCCCAGATTTAAGCTTTAAACCGCAAAAGAAGTATGTATGCTTAAAAGCTATGTACTGCCATTTACTATCGAAAGTGGCATGTAAAAATTATTCACTACTTTTGGAAGTAGGTACATATCGTCACCTGAAATGCAAAAAGACGGAACAAACATCGTGACTGAAATGGAAAAAGTCGTGACTAATAATTTTCTTTTCATAAAACGATGTGAATTGTTTTAATTCGATGAAATCCATCGTATAAATGAAAAAGTGAATTTTGGGTTTTTTATTAGTTTTATTCTAGATGACGATATAGTCAAAACCAACAACTTCAAAAACGATTATATATATAAGTGTTCAAGGAATATAACTGAACTAGCGACTATATACTATAGTATATTATTAATATTAACATCTCTGCCAAATCATAGACATTTTCAGATTACGTCATCCTCAATTTTTTGCCTGAAAAAATATTTCCTGCACTTTTTCCTTACCAAACCGAATTCAACAGACAGAGTAAATAGTGTGCTAGCAGCCTTGAAACTTCTGTCATTTGACACAAATACACATGATTTTTATATTTGCTTGTCCTGTTATATGTACATACATATATTTTCTATGTTTTTAATGTTTTTTTTTCTTCCATTATCTACTCCCTCTAGGATAATTTCATTAAAACGTCCAAATACACACTGCTGACTTTTTTGCCATTTAATTTGCTCGAACAATTTCAACGTCTTGCCAATTTCTATTTCCTGTGCTTGTTGGTGCTGCAACTCATACCCGCGATATCATCATTGACGCCCGTTACCACAGCCATACCGTTAATTGGCGTATTAACTTTGACAGCGGTTAAGGATGCGTATGATGACATTGTAAGTATCTAAAAAAATTAATAAGCTTTTTGTGTACATATGTAAATATGTATGTATGTACGTAAGAACTTAAGCATGAGTATGATTGATTAGTTAGGTATTTATTAAGAATTAAAACGGTATAAAATTGCTGATCTTATTAGATATTCGATATTCGATGAAAATAATTGTAGATATGTGTACATACATTCACATACACATGTTCGCTTTCGAATTTGTCATGTAGTAAACTAAAACTAGCCGCTAAAATTTAAGTGTTTAGGCAACAACTTTTTACTCAAAAAATTAAAAACTCGAGATAAACGGCTTTGATGTTCACAGTTTACATGTGTCGAAGCCACAGCCCCTAATCCTAAACGTAGAATACGTTATTCAAGTTGAATTTAAATTCTAAAATAGGTGGCAACTCTCCTACATGTAGTTTGGAAATAAAATCTCTTCAACACAATTTCGATTGATATCTATTTATGAAGTAATTTATTAAACCTATTGCATACATGAGTTCAAATTTGTAAACAGAATATTTTCAAATCACAACCTCTTTCATCTGGCACCCATATCGGGATACATATTTCAATTTTCAAATTGCCTTAATTAAGGTTTCTCTTGGCTTTTTTAAACAGGTGGCAACGCTCCTACATGTAGAAATAAAAGTCTTTCAATGCCATTTTGATTGACATCCATATTGTAGTAATTAATTTAACCTATTGTATACATTGAATTTAATTTTATAAACACGTGGCAACTCTTTTCAAACTTCTGTCTTATTATTATATTTTCAAACCACAATCTCTTTCGTCTGATACTCATATTGGGATACTTATTTCAATTTTCTAAATGCCTTAATTTAAGTTGATCTAGATTTTATGAACGGGTGGCAACGCTTCTACATGCAGTTTAGAAATAAAGTTCTTTCAAGGTCATTTTGATTGATACCCATATTAAAGTAATTCATTTAGCCTTTATATGCATTCAATTTAACTTTGTAAATAGGTTGTAACCCTGTTCAAAATATTTTCAAATTGAAAGCTTTTTAACCCTTTTTCGCCTGACACATATTTAAATTACCTAGTTCTCTTAATTCAAGTTGAATTTAATTTTTCAATCAGGTGGCAACGCTCCTACAGATAATTTGGGAACAAATTTTTTTCAAAGCCATTTTGATTAATATCCATATAGCAGTACACATTCGTACCAATCAATTACGTTATAAATATACTTATTGTCTCCTTCTCTCCATTCCAGTGCAAGCACGTAATTGCAAAATGATGACAAAGTGATTTTGTATGAAAACTCATTTATGCCCATGTATTTGAATCAAATAAACATATTTATAATATATCAACCAATATTCCCATATACCAAACGAAAGGAAATTGAAACATGATTTTTTTAATATAGAAAACTAAAACAAAATCATTGGAGCGGTTTTCGGACATTTTGGTAATAAAAAAAATTAATAAATTTTTCAAAAATTTTTTGCCTTAATTTTATAAGCTAGAAAAACGGATAAGTTTTGCGTTTTATTTTTTTTTGCGGCTTTTTAATATCTTTCGGTTTTTTTTTTGAACGTTTTGGGATTATTTGAGATTTTTTCGGAGCTTTTTACTGACCACTTTTTTCAAAAAATATCAGGAAAATTTTAGTTTAATTTTGCCTCACAAAACAGGTGCAGCTTCGGCTATGCATACATTGAAATGGTCACTAACGGCAAGTCCTTTTGACATTGACAGTGACATTGTCCGGAAGTCGCTATATCGGAATACATATTTAGTAGGATTTAAAAAATTTCTGTGTTTGTATGTATATGTATCAATAGTGTGTCTATTTTAGCTCTTAAAAAAATTTACATTACAAGCTTTCGATGTACACTTTACAGCAACGCCATCTGTCGGATTCTCAGGTGAATAATAGACGATCAAAAACATTACGTAATGGTCAGTTAATCGATGCAAAATGGTCAGGAGTACAGGTATGGATACAAGTATCTTTTTATGCATGTACCCTTATATTAACAACATTTGTATGTATATGTGACATTCTCTGCCAACGGTAGACTCCTCTTCCCATTTCAATTTTAATTCAAATAATGTCTATGATGGCGCACAAATGAAAGCTCAGTTGATCTAGTTTTGAAAGGTTTCATTTGATTCATCATATACATACATACAGTGAGTGTCAGTGAAAATCGTACAGTAAATTGTTTCCCCAATTTTTCGAATATATTTTGCTTTATTTACAAAGCCACTATTTTTGTCTTCAGTCGGGCATTACTGAAGGCAATACGATCTAGAATAGTGAAATCGGGAATCGTATGGAAAGGTCGCCCCACGCTGGCGTCACTGAGCCGTATCAACGTCACTCTAAGCTGGGTTCCCGGACATAGCAATATTTAAGGGGATGAGTCGGCTTATGAGATGGCTTGATGTGGCTCAGAGATGCAATAGAAGAAGCGGATAGCTCCTTACTACCACTCTTTAGTGACGAATGACTTGTGGAATAAACGGGAAGACTGTGAGTCTGTGCAATAGCACCAATGCTTTAATGGTGGCGAATAGCAACAAGTATTCTCCACAGAGGCTGCCATTATGAGGATGAGGAAGAGTCAATTGGCCACTATGTATCGGTTTCGATGTCCAGGTCTACAGATGTAGCGACTCAAGCACTTGGGTTCACGCTTCTGCAATAGTCTGGGCGAAGTAGCAGAGGTGGAACTGTTGCATCTCATCGGCTTCATCAGGGATAGTAATTGGTACAGTGAAATAATGACTTAAAGCTACTGTTTCGATTTAGGTACGTGCCTCCTCCTGACACTCACAATGCGCAATTCTATCTCCGAGTGAAAGCATGGAATATTCCACACACGCCTCCTAACCTTACCTTGCTTTATTTAAATTTTAATAATTTTTAATAAAAAGATAGTTCACACTACAGTAAAATCGCGTACAACCCAAAGTTTCTAACTTTGAAACAAATAAAAAATCGTAAAATTTTCATAAAATCCCACACTTTTTGTTCGGAATTTTTAGAAATTTTTTGGGTATGCAGTTTTATATCCCATTCAATTTTAACATAATAAAGTACAAGTGTGTAGTGGCTACAAAATACCGTAACATACATATGAAATACCGTAAATACATATGAAATAAGTTATTTTAAATAACATGAGATCATTCTTGATATAGAAAATACGCAACACCGTCAACAAAACAAAAAATTGCCAACAATGAACGGTAGCCACTTCAAACTTGCACCTTATTATACTAAAATTTAGTGGACAATAAAACTGCATACCCAAAAAAATTCTATAACTCGCAATAAAAAGTGTGAAATTTTGATGAAAATTTTACGATTTTTTTTAATTGTTGTAAAGTTAGAAACTTCAAGTTATGTGGATTTTATTGTAGTGTGAACTATATTTTTATTCAAAATTAATAAAATTGCAATAAAGCAAAATATTAACAAAATGGGAAAAATTTATTGTACGATTTTCACTAATACTCACTGTACCTATTTGAATAAAAACTAAAATGGAAAGGCAGCCTTCCGTTGAAAGGAATGCCACATATATATGTGCACATTAGGGTGGTCCTTAAAACAAAAGGGAGGATTTTTTCTGTCTCCCCCCTCTATCGCTAATGCCACGGTCACAGATATCACATATAAATTTTGGTCCCGATTGGAGTCGATTAAGGCGTGTCCAAAAGGGGTTAACGGCCAGATCCTCTATGGACTCAAAAAATTAAAATAATATATTTTTTTCTTTTAATACCTAAAATCGATACTTTTACTACAGTCGAGGATATTACATATAAATTGGAGTCGGTTAATACGTCTTCATAGGGTAATCTGAACTTCGACCCCTGTGCGACACGCCTTAACCGACTTCAATCGACTATGGTAGTATCGACTAATTTTAATTTTTTCAGTCTCCATAGCGGAATTCGAACTTTGCCCGCTGTGCGACTCGCCTTAACCGTCTTCAATCGGGACTAAAATGTATATGTGATTTCTTCGACTATAGTAGCATCGACGTAGGGGTTGAGAATTAGGAAATCGAATGTAAAAATTTGCTTCCTACATTTAAGGACCACCCTAGTGTGCATACACATATGTACACATCTATGTCCGTGCCTGCAAACGCGCATTCATACATACATATGTACGTATGTAGGGTTGCGTGCAGCTAATTAACAACGACGCACCCCTGTGGATTATATGAATTTGTAGATAATATACGAAACGGCCAGAAAGTAATTTTTTACTACAATTCTTCGAATACATACATATTCAAACATCGACCTGTTTGTGTTTTTGTCTCAGCGTAGTTTTTTAATTAGCTGCACGCAACTGTATGTAAATACATACAGACAACAAATTCTATGATGCCTGAAAATGCATTTTTATATATTTCTTACAATTTTCTAACCGACAGGTTGGCGATGTGATACGTTTGGAGAACAATCAATTTGTGGCTGCCGACATACTCTTGCTGACCACATCCGAACCGAATGGTTTGTGTTTCATCGAAACAGCCGAATTGGATGGTGAAACAAATTTGAAATGTAAGCAATGCCTGCCTGAGATCACAGAGCTTGGCCAGCGACATGATCTTTTGTGGAATTTCAATGGTGAAATTATCTGCGAACGGCCAAATAATCTACTTAACAAATTCGAGGGTACACTTATATGGCGAAACCAAAGATATGCGCTGGACAATGAAAAAATCCTACTTAGAGGCTGTGTACTACGCAATACGCAGTGGTGCTATGGAGTTGTTATATTTGCGGGCAAAGACACCAAACTTATGCAGAATTCAGGCAAAACGCAATTCAAAAGCACCGGCGTTGATAGACTGTTAAATTTTATTATAATTGGGGTTAGTTGAGAATGGGAATTATATATGTATGTAAATCGAATGTCCACAAGACTTACATACTATATATATGTATGTACGTATGAATATACTTATATGAGAATATTATCCTTTTTTTTAGATTGTACTTTTTCTACTTTCCATATGCGCGTTTTTTACGCTGGCCTGTGCCATTTGGGAAAGCTTTATTGGACAGCATTTTCAGGTAAATTGGTTATTTCACATTAACTTATTCGTTGTTCCATCCAGCATTCGCAAACCTCTCCCAATATTCATTCTAAAATTTTTTAAAATTATTTAAATGTCTCACACTTTATCTTAGTTATCTTATGTATGTTTATTAGGGTGCCTCGCCAAATAAGTAGCGGTTTTACACCGCAATCATAAAATTTGTTATACATAGTTTAAGACTTTGGTCAAAAATCCCATTATTTTGATACAGTCGATACAATCTTTAAATATTTGAATGCAGATTTTTCGAAAAAAAATATTATTAAAAACCAATTTCATTTACGCAAAACTCGAATTTTTGGGTTATTTTCAAATCCGTCCAGCTGAAGTAAATCTTAATATTTTTCCGAAGTATTTTGGCGGAAGTCTTAGAATATAATAAATTTTATAATTCCGATGGAAAAACTGTACCGATTTTTTTTTTTTGTATGGGTAGTGATACACCCTAATATTTATACGTGCTTTTTTTATTTTTCTTTCTTTATTTTAACAGGTGTACTTACCGTGGGAAAATATCATACCAAAAAATGTTGCGCAGGGTTCCACCGTTATCGGCCTGTTGGTGTTCTTTTCCTATGCAATCGTCTTAAATACTGTTGTGCCAATATCTCTCTACGTTTCAGTAGAGGTAAGTAAGAGTTAGAAAAAAATATTAAAGCCATTCTATGAACATGGCACAGTCCCACAATACTATACTTATAGATTTTTGGTTGTTGAGTGAAGTCAGAATTCAAAAATTTTCTTTTCTTTCATATTCAATGGTGGATTTTTTTAAGGTTAGAAAGAAAATGCGCGCCAGCTTCTGTACTTTAGCCATAGCCGCGCCAATTCGCGCATTTGTCTATATGTAGTTAGTTGTTAATTTACAACCCTCTAGGAAAGGAAAACATTCCTCCATGCCATGTTGTTAATTTCTTTTTTATCATACGATACCGTTAGTGGGAAACTTTCCTCCTTCCTCCCTTCGGCCCATTGTCGATTCAAAACTTCTGCTTTGTTTCCATAAGCAACGAAGACATTACCAAATGACTTCGAATTTGCGTTGTGTTTAGAATTAATACGAAGCCCAATCAAAGACGAATACGGAGACGAACTCGTATACGCACACGAACACGAAGGGGAATACGAATATGTACGAATAAAGGATAAGAAGGCAAAAACATGCCGTTTTACAGGGTTGAGTGTTACGTCAAACGCATTTTGCACCGAGGAAGGGCAACATTTTTTGAAAGAAGTAGAAGGTCTGAAATTTTAAGAAAAGGCAATTGCTTATTTTTTTAGTCATAAGGTTCAATATGTGACGCTGTATACTTAATTATCATTGCTGACTGAATTTACCAATATTTTTCCGATGCAGGTTATACGTTTCGCCCAATCATTTCTAATCAATTGGGATGAGGAAATGTACTATGAACCTTCGAAAACTCATGCCAAAGCACGTACCACCACACTCAACGAGGAGTTGGGACAAATACAATATATATTTTCGGATAAAACCGGTACACTAACACAAAATATAATGACCTTCAATAAATGCAGTATTAATGGGCGTACCTATGGTGATGTATTCGACCTGCGCACGGGCGAAGTTATCGAAGTTACTGATGTAAGTTTTTAGTCTAAGATGAATCAAACAATTTGCATTTGATATTGAGAGGAGCTAAACGTCCTTAACAAATTATTAACAAATTGTGCTGATGATATTTGTTTTTTTTTTTGAGGCTAACACGCATATCAACTATTTACTTAGGACAAAACTAATTATGTATACACTTTATTTTCTCTAACTGCAGTTAAAGCTTTAAAGCAATTTCAAACATTGCAGCGATTTCTTGGCACAAATACTTACGTACATACTACATGCACACATACATACATACATACATACATATTATTGGCAGTAGTAGGGGCTATTGCATGTGGTTTAAATCACAAACAGAGGAGAATAATCAAATATAATTTAACTAACAGCTTATTTTTCAGTAATAACTAGCAAAGGAAAAAAAGAGCTTTTATTGGACCTCTTTGTAAATATTGCAATGTCGCGTGTTTCGCACAAATTTGCAACCGAAATTGGAGTATAATTGAATTTGAGTAGAAATTTTGTGACACTGGCGCATTTTATCTTTGCACTCCTTCGAGCACCGACACTCACACTCATGCACAATTGTTGCCAAGCCAATTGAGTTTTTTTTTT